TATCGCCCACTATGCCTGTGTGGTTGTGTAACCTCTATTCATTTGACATGAATGGGTGAAACACCAGCTTGCAAAACTCATGTTTTTTGCCTACTTTGATATTGCACCTTCTTCTTGTGCAGCACATTCCCTCTAAAAGAGAACAAAATATCAAGCTGCTTCTGGTTTTGTACCTCATGTACACAGCATAGTGTGGTTGAAGCTTCTCAGTAAACAGAGTACTCTAGATGCTGGCTGATGAGGCAATGCCCACTGTGTGATAGAGCTGACAGATGACTGGGAAAACACAGCTTTCGATTAAAGTAATCATCCTTTTCCCCCCACAGTCACATGAAATTCTACCATCAGAAGGAAAAAAAAAGACGTCCTGGTTCTCCTGCTTAAAGCAGATTAACTTTGACCTAGGGATTCACTGTTGAGTGCACTAACCTTTCAAATGAAATGTAAAGACATCAAGATGTAAAAGAGAAGTTTCCAAGCCACTCAAACACCAGGGGCCTTTATCCAGAGTGCAGTGTGAGTGTGATAAGGGGTGTAAGGGTAGTGTGACCTCGTGCCCTTACCCTGCTTTTTGGACTGAGGAAATGCAGTGGAAACAGAGGAGCAAAGCTGAACCACGGGTGCTATAGAGGAAGATATTTCCTGTGCCAATAAGCCAAGCTGAATATCAACTGGCAACTGTCTGTTGTTATCAGTTTAATGCCCTGTCCTGGCTGGAGGTTTCCAGTGATGCACACATATCTAGCTTCTCATACGGTCAATTCCTGCATCTTCCCTTGCAATTCAGTTAAAGGACGTGAGGTTAAGGAGAAAAAAAAAATTAAATATCACAGCCTACCCATTTGTTTTAAAAACCCTTGGCAAAAAGTTCACAGGTTCTAAAGCGACTCTGCAAGCACTTGTGCTTTAACTTGCACTGTAGAACTGATCAGCTCATGTCACAGATCTTGATCTACAGCCCCAACTCGCCCATATTTCAGATAGCATGCTTTGGAGAGAGATATGTGAGTAAAAAAAGAAAATCCACATTCTGGCTTAGACACTTCATGCTTTTGAATCCTTCAATCAGGTCTCCAGCAAACTGGCACTAATATGGTGCCAAGGAGGACCTGGCCTTATCTACAGTAAATGTTAAAGAAATTTGAAAGTAGGTCCCCCCACATGGTGTTGGAAATGAACTTGCAAAATGTAATAAATGTAAACTCTAATAAGTGCAACTCCCCCCCCAAAATATTTTATGGTCTCACCCATCACCAAAATATCATGCTGGTCCTGCTACAGTGCCCTAACTAATGCCTGTAAGATCTGTGATAAGAGCAGCTGACATTCTCTCGAAGCAATTTTTAATCTTCTCACAACATGAAGACCATATGTGAACACAGCCCACTGCTCTGTCCTTCTTCCTCAGCTCAGTGCTTCTGTATCCTGTCAGTTGTGTGTTTCAACACCTCCCAGGGCACTTCTGCTTTTAGGGTCAGCGGAGAGCAGGAGGCAGGGCCCAGTCACAAGTTTGTAGTTGAAAGAGCAGACAGTCAAGCGCAGTCACTGCTCCAGAGCAGGCTGCCCGCACAATTCCAGCAGCACTCCAGGTGAATCTAGACTACGGATCTGAACAAGCTCCTTTCTTGGATGAGCCACTTGGTTATTCCATCTATCCATCTTTTAAAAGTTTCTTCCAAGTCACGGTCATAGGGGAGCCAGAACCTATAACAACAACTAATAGGAAAAAGGCGGGATACACCCTGGAAGGGACGCCAGTCCATCGTTGGGAACACACACGGACACACACACACTCACACCTATGGCCAAGTTTCCTAGGAGCCACTTATTAATCCAGTTTTTTTTTTGAGCACCAGAAGGAAACCCACATGAAGACCGGGAGAATAAACAAACTCCACACAGACAGCAGATAGCACCCCAGGTCTGGAATTGAACCCTGGGTCCCAATACTGCGAGACAGCAATGCGATTCTGTTAGCTGCTCAGTTATCCCAATACTGCTCAGTTTAAAGTGTGAATAACTTCAAGACATGTCATTCTAACCTGCCTGAGAAAATGCATACAGAAGCACAACCCTTTTAAGCCACAATTAAATTCCATTTCTGAAAACCCAGGCATACTGAAAAAAACATAGTTAATGAATATCCAACACAAATTTACAACAAATTTAAGTTTAATCTGTAGTATTTTCTGCACCTATTTCTAAACGAAAATGTATAAAATGTACATCGGTGTCCTCTGGTGGTCAAACATTAATTTGGGTCTTTGCTTCTGTGATACTGTATCAATGTTCTCATGACTGTCACTTCTTCTGATGATGCAGAGCTTAAGATGGTCACCTGGGCAAAGTGAATGAAAAAAGATTTCCCGTGCCTAATAATTTTAACTTCTTTAACAATGACCATTTTTATAGCTTTTTTAATTCTCAATGCCTATGTACTTTAAATGTAAAGCTTTAAACCAGTTTTAAACAGCACAGTTGGGACCAAGAGTTTCACAATACACCAATCTATACACCCCCAGAATTTCCTTCTCCTGGCAACTACCACAGAAGAATGTGTCTTTATAAACAGTGCTGTTATTTTTCCAAAACACCTTTTCAAATAAATCCATTCTATAACACTTGCTTCAGAATAATACACTAAACTTTAAGAGTTCTGTAAATGCAAGAAACCATTTTGTATTAACACAACCTCTGCAAGTGCAGTTGTTTTCCAGGTCCTTATGCCAATACTTGAGCTTTCCACCCACTTCACCAGAGCTTTTGCCCTTATGTTCAGTGTTACACCCACAGGCTAATATCTCCTAAAAGATTTGCTTTGGATTTAGTCTCTACAGCCCAGGAGGACTGAAGTACTGCTGTGAATTCCAGCTTAGTGCGCCTAAAACAGGTTTTGCTGCTCAGCTTGCTTCTTTGTTGGAATCTGCTTTGAGGAGCCCATCGTGACCATTTGTCTTATTCAATAAAGCCTCTCCCATGGCTATAGCACTGGTCAAGTGATCACAGAGCGCATTAAGCGCCTCAGTGGACATGTCTTCCTTTGTCATGTCCACAATGATCTGAACTTGCTGCAGAATTTTTTCACGGATTCTCTCTCTTTCGTGAGCGCTGTGAGTGGCGTCTATCTTGCTAGGTTTGATTAAATGCGACGTGTGTCCCAAACAGCACTCAACACTCACTGTTCCATCAGCCCTCTTTACAGACACTTTCATGTAGGCGCTACACCGGCCTCCAATTTTGCAAGATCCCCGTAATTTCCTTAGCTGTTCACCTTCTCCTTTTGCTTTGTAGTGGCCTGATCGATTGCAGTGAAACCACTGGATCTTCGCTTCCTGTGTGTGTTTCAAGCCCTTCACGGACTTCACAAATGAGGCACTGTCATTGGCTTCCACATTGGCCTTCCACTGAAGAAAATCCTCATAGTCAGGAAA